ATAATATACATATATATATATATACATATATATATATATATGCATATATGAATCATTTTAAGTATATATTAATGAATTAAACTAAATTATAATTTCTTGATTAAACAGGTATCCCATGGTTCAATTATTCCCATAATTATAAAAAGCATCATTACTTATCCATTCGTAACTGTTAACACGAAATTATTAAATTTTCAAAATGTCATCGTAGGAGAATGTTTAATGATGAATGTTTTAGTGAAAAACGAGTATATTCTTATTTAAATACACTTAAAACTTTTATCAATAGGATATATAATTTTTAAATTTTAATTTTCAGAGGTTTTATTAATTGTTATTGGAAAGCAAATATATTAACTGGTAAAAAATATAAAGATTGCCCATTTTATATTAATTATAAATCTAATCTTCTTTTGCCTGGTCATTCAGATATCATCAGTGTTTATTTCAAACCACGTAAAACGGTACTACTGTATATATATAACTGTACTATGTTAATGAAATTAAATGACATTGCTAATCATTTAGTGTCGCATGGAGGCAAATTTAAAAATCATTGTTAAAATGGGTTTGGAAACACAAGTGATAACATTGCTTGGTCATGGAATCGAGTATAAATTGCAAATAAGCGATCTCGACATTAGTTTCCCGCCTACAGTGATTTTTACCGAAGTACTAGAGAAAACGTTCACAATCGAAAATAAGTGCAATTATCCCGTAGAATTTTTCTGGCATCATCTGGATAGGTAATTAATAAAAATAAATTCGGCAGATTAGAAACAAAAACAAAATGAGAGGAGATAACGAGAAAATTTTACGTTTTTATAAAAATTCTTAAAAAATAGCTATCTTCTCATTTCGCGATTAACGTGAAAACAAAAGTGATAGGTGAAATGACGTGTAATGACTTTATTGAATAAATGCGTTACAGTCTTTTTCTAGAAGAACAAATCGCTGAGGCACTGACTCGTTACTACGGAGTTAAAGAAATCCTATTACCGCCTCGAAAACTCGGAGAGAGAATGCCGTCGTCTTTAATGGAATTTTATAATAGTCTCAAGAGCGAGATGGCGTACGCTTTGTCGGCGGAAGCAATCGAGAAAAAAAGTGCCACTGTGCTCAATGGTATATATATTAAGAGTACTTGAAAATAAGCTTCTTTTTCCAGATTATAATCTCTAATTGTCAAATTACAAAAAAAAATTCTACAAAATAATACTTTGCTTTAGCTAACGATATTTGCAAATATGATTTTACATTAATGCAAACGTTTATATATAATGCAATATGTAATTAATGTTTGAATAGATGACAAACTTTTGAATGTGGAGCGTAAGAATAGAATAAGAGCAAGAAAGAAGTCGTCTAGTACATCAAGATTATTTGTCCAACAATTCTCGAATCAACAAAGCTCAAAAATAAATTTGCAAAAAGATTTTAACGTTGACAGACGGAAACGGAAAAAGTCAATTGGTTATTCATCCACTTCTACGGACACCGCAAAAAGAGATTGCCCGCCCATGTCAGTCCTTAATGAACTCGATTTCCCTCGCGAGCCTCCAATATTATCAACAAACGATCCCAAAGAACTTCATAATTTACTTCTCTGTGAGCAACTTTATCTCGATAACAAAAATTCTTATTGTGCAACTTTTATTGCATTATCGTTATACGTTTTAATAAAAGCATGACTTTTTATATTTTTTTTTATTTCCAAGATTATATAGAGACTCTGCGTAAAGATCCTAATTTCTGCAAAAGAAAAGATCCTGTAAAGGAGCTGTTTGATCGTCATGAAACAAAATCAATTCTTGAGCTCGATTCTTCGCAACCGGCTAAAAAAGTTTGCATTCTCTTTCACGGCGCTCCATTTACTGGTAATTTCGCATTTAAAAATTTTGTTCACACGAACAAAATGTACGTTTACTGAATTGTATTATTTTAGAATATCAGGAAACCGCGTGCAGGAGCGCTAAGGCATTGCAAGTGTCGCTATTATGCATAGATAATGTAATTATCGAAGGTATTGCACTGGGCGACAGTTGGGTTTCCATCAAGTTGCGACAAATTATCGATGAAGCTTATCAAGAATATTTATCATCATTCGAAAGATATAAGTAATTACAAAATTAAGAGACACAGAGCGATATATATTCATAGTCCGTTATTATTTTAAGAATAAGTAATGTCTTAAGATGCTATAATACGGCTCTCTGATTGGCTCATAAAGTCGATCTTAAATATAAAATCTGACTATGAATACTGTCCAGATTTTTAAATAATCATAGATTTTTAATAATTAGGTGCGCAACTTAATTCTCAGCCTTTTTCACTGAACTTTAATATTAATTTATAAAAAGATGAATAGTTAATCTTCGAAGTAATCGCCCTTGCTTTCTATATTATTTGCGGCATCTTTTGGAGAACTGTCGAATTCCACTTCGGAAAAAAGTCATTGTTGACTTTCTTTAACTGTCCTGGACGTTTTTCATCATGAAAGTTGAAATTTCCACTCTTAAATCGCTGGAATCACTTCTTACAGGTACTGTAGGAAACAACGTGCTCCCCCAAAGCTGAACAGATCATTTTCTGTAGTTCACTTTTTTTCAATTGAAAAGCAAAAGAACGCAATGCCTCAAAACGGCTTTGCTTTTGCCTTTTTTGTTTGTTAAATTAGGTTAATACAACCGTCAATTACAGTCCATTTAAAAACTATATTATCCTTAAAAATGGCGCTCAAATATGACTATACGGCGGGAAAGATATATAAATTTAAATAGGTAATCTCATCGATTGAAGTTAGGGGCCGAGAATTAAATTGCGCACCATAAAATAAATGCGCATTATAAATAAATATTTTATAAAACTTTTAT